TTATAATGGAATGCTATAATTAATTAAGTAATTATTTAATTAAGTAATCATTTGTTTATAACGTAATGTTATAATTAATTACGTAATTATACTATAAATTTATAATGTAATGTTATAATTAATTAAATTTCTAATCCTTTAATTAAGTATTATACTAATGTAGTAAATTACTAATGTTTATAATATAATGTCATAATTAATTAAGTAATCATTTAATTATGTAATATTATAATTAATTATGTAATCATACTATAATGTAATGTTATAATGAATTAAGTAATTATACTATAAATCTTTAATGTAATATTATAATTAATTAAATTTCTAATAATTTAATTAAGTATTGTACTAATGTTTATAATGAAATGTTATAATTAATTAAGTAATTAAGTAATTATACTATAAATCTATAATGTAATGTTATAATTAATTAAATTTCTAATTATTTAATTAAGTAATATACTAAATAACTAATGTAATGTTATAAACTTATAATTAATTAAGTAATCATTTAAATATAATATAAATATGTAATGATATACTTAGAACTTGATAATTGAAGTAAATAACTAAATATTATATTATTATTCAATCAAATATACTATTTTATTCAAATATAATTCTTTTAATAACATTAAAACACTTTTAAATAGTCATAATTTCAATTATACACTTAATTAATCAAAACTTTAATATTAATATATTAAAGTTTTTCATATGGTGTAGTTTATATGTAATAAGTATAATTGTATCTTTATTCAATTAGGTTATTGTAAAAATTTAACTTTTTCCATTTAAAATTTTTTTGTATGTAAAATTACATGGACCCCCCATTTTTCACAGATATTTCATTTCAACCCAGATTCCAAAACAGGGTACCCGCTGCAGGTTCCAAGCCGGGCACCCACTGCAGGTTTTTTTTTCTAGGTTTTGGTTCCGGTTTCTGTTCCTCCACATGTAGGAATCGAAATCGAAACCGTACAGTGTCGATTCCAAAAAAATGAAATTGGAACCTACCCGCACAGTATCGATTCGGGGTAGGTTTCGATTCTACCTACTACACGTGCTCACCCCTAGCTAAACATTCATCTTTCATTTTTATATATTTTTTATGAGTAATACTACATTTACAAAGAAATTTTACCTCCATATAAAGTTATATGACAAAAAATGAATGGAAGAGTGAATTTAATGAGTTTGATTTTTTGTTTCACTATTCCATTCATATTTTACCAACTCACTTTGTATGAAAATCTTTGTAAGATTTATTTGTAAGTATAGTATTATTGATTTTTTATATACATTTTTATCTTAATTAAAATTTAAAATGGGGCTTAATAGAGAATAGGTGGGGGCTATTTAGTATCACTCATCATTAGGTTTTTTTTTAATTAATATCAATTACACCTTAATATTGAAATGAACGTAAAAATGCATATTGAATGGAAAAATTTAAGCTTTAATAACTAATTTATAAAAATGTGTGAAAAATAATTAATTAATTAATTAATTAATTTTTTTTTTTTTTGGGTGAACAGAGGTGTTCAGGCTAGCTTGCGTGCACCTCAACTAATCTCCTAAGACTCTAAAGCGAGTAGCTAGATAAATCCCCCTAGTGACCACCCGACCACTCCTATTAGTACTTAAGAAGACTTGAACTGCCACCCTTATTAGTGGTTAGGGGGACTTAAACTCAAGAACCTATGTTGAACTTCTTTGCTCTTTTACTATCAAGTCACCCAGTGATGGTTAATAATTAATTTGTTTTAAAGCATATTATGGTGTCATTTTTTTAGAGATGTTATCGTCCATACTAATCAAGGAATGCACCAAGTTTGTAAATATACATTGAAAGATACAATGACGGATTACATTGTCCCTGTTAGGTATGGACCAAAGTAAACCTGAATACACTTAAATATATTTGTTATCCACTGATATAAAAGTAAATGAATAATCTTGAATACAATGAAAAGTTATTATAGTCCTTTGGGAGTTGTCCAAATTGCTCTTGACAAACATGATATATGGAAAAGTATTGGTGTAATGATCCAAGTCATAATTAAATTTCTTCATATCATTGGCTGTAGAATGATATGAAGAAATTTAACTATCATTTTTTTTTTTTTTTTGGGTAACCGGGGTGTCTGGGCTAACTTGCGCGTATTTAATTAATCTCTGAGGTTCATTGAATACCTTACAAGTCCAAACAACCAAGTAAGCTACAATGTTATGATGGTAAGTGACTCCAATGTTTGAACTTAAAAACTCAAGAAGAGAATAAACTTTTTTAACCGTCGGACCAACCCATTGAGGTTAATTTAACTATCATTACTTGCTTCTAACTTGGAAAAGAAAGCCATGTTGGTACTTGTTTATTGAAGTTTCCTTTTCTCCACATTTCTTCTTTACTTAAAAAGTCAAACTCTCGGTCATCCTTTCCAGTGTTATACACAATGTGTGACATTATATAAAGTTAGTTGCGGATGATTTGATTCCTGGAACAATTTAATATGGCTGGGAAAACCAAAGATGCTACTGGGCATCAATTGTCTGTCAATTTGATTGTATTGTGATTCTTAATACTATATTTGGATGAATACTCGTTTTTGTATTATCAATTCTACTATTCTGATGGCCTGACCCTTTTTATTTTGGAAATAGGTATGATCTACTGCTCTCGATCAGAGATGGCAAGTCGTCTCGCCTTGTGCGAGGCGTGAATGGGACAGGGACGGATTTATTCCCCGATCTTGGGGACAGGACCAGTGGAACGATAAGATTACCCTTACATATTTCTATAATCACAAGATACCCTCCCTATATATCCATTTTTCCCACACAACCATGACCTAACCCTAAACCTCCACACTAGTGGCCGTCCCTCGCCTCTCACCGCCACTGCTCCAAGGTGATGTTGTTCGCCTGTTTTCCTTCGATTCTCCAGTTCTCCTTTCTCTTTAGCTTTTCCTTGGACGGATTTTTCGTTCTTCATCGCTATCGTCTTTACATTTTCATGTTAAAATCATTGCTTTATTTATTTTTTGTGGTTCTTGAAATTATTTGTTTTTATAGCTAAACAACTTTGGTTTACTTGTTTCGTTTGTGATGTTAATGGGTTTTATTTTAACATTTTTGTTGCATTTATTTTCTTGTTTTCAAATCTTTGGTAGGTTGCAATTGTACTATAGAGCTTTGAAAGGCTTCAATTTTTTTACTATAACAATTTACAAGTAAGAACCGACTTGTTTGATTTTTCTTTTTCTGTTTTGAAGTATGTTGATGCTTGAGTTTAATACCAACAAATTAACACATATAAAATAATATAAAAAGTGGTTCAAATATTTAAAACGAATCCTATATCTACTTTAACTATTTATCTGATATTATCTGTAAACCGTACAAAGATTAAATAATACTTTATTTATAGAGAAAAATAATAGTTGAAGCTCAAATGAATACTCAACTCCCATATGCTTAGCCCCCTCTTCCATAAAAAGAAATGTTTATTTATACCTTTAAGTTCAATGTAATGATTACTTAACAAGTCCTCTACTTGTTTGAAAATCTTTCCTTCCTCTTAATCTTTTTATGAGATAAAGGTTGATAAAAATGCTCTTAATAACTAGGGTGGTTTGAGCTGACAGTTAATGTTATTTGGTCCTTAAGCACATGTTAAATTTGGATTGATGGGATTAGCTGGCAGCTCATTCTAATTGATGGTGCTGATATCATGTAATTTCATCTATAACAAAGTGTTTTCTAATGGATTCCAAGTTCGGCTTCACTTCCTCTTGTTGAAGAAAGAAACCTGGTTGGTTTGTCTTGCTCAAATCGGCGAATTGCTATTTGTAACACTCTTGAGAAGCTTTATTTTTTTCATAAACGTATGCCTGCAGCCTTAACACATCAGGGAAGTCCTTGAAAATTTCATTAACTGCAATTTTCACTGCCCTGGTGGCGATTCCCTGACCCCAGTACTTCCCAGCTACAGCATACCCAATATCAGCCCTAAACCTGTCATCGCCTGATCCGAAAAAGATGGAGACGAATCCGACATATTGATCGACGCCAAGGGTGGGGGATGCGTTTATCCTTGATGTAAGTCAAAGCTTCTTCCTTGGAGGTAAAAGTGCTCCAACCGATGAATTTTGTCACTTGATCATCACCAGCCCACAACATGAGATCATCAACATATATCAACTTGAATGGACGGAGAGTGATGCTTGATAAATCAATCTCCATTGCACTATTAGAGTAAAAATAAAGATCAAACGATCAAACGATCAAAATGTTAGTAGTTGGATTAATGGGTTTAAAACCAACTTTAGGATATTATGCAGAAGAGTGTGTTGAAATATCACCGCGGCCTCTCTCGTTACCAAGAAGCTCTCCACTTGTTTCCCAAGTATTTATATCTTTGTCACGTTCAGGCAAGAAAATTGATCATAAAATTTTATGATTCCCTCTAATTATTTGATATGTTAATCCAATTAACAAAGTTGTAAGACCTGATTTTATATATAAAAAAAAGAGTATGTCACAGAAGCAAATAAATGCGGATCTTCTTTGTGTTTTTTCTTTTTTTTGGTGAAAGCCTCTGGTCTCCCCATACTCGTAGGTATGAGATTAATCTCTATAAGGGCTCGGGTAAGTACCCCTGACCGCAAGATGCTTCCAGTGTAATTCGAACCCGTAACATTGCAGGATCTCCTTTGTGTTGATAATTAGTTTATTAGCGTGTTAGCCTAAGCTTTATTAAAACAAATCTGGGCAGTCCTTGAAAGCTTCATTAACTGCAATTTTCACTGCCCTATGGCAATTCTCTGATCCCATTACTTGGCAGCTATAACATACCCTATCGAATCTCTGCACCTGTCAATGCCGGATCTGGAGAGATAGAAACGAATCCGATCCAATGGTCATGAATGCATATTGATCTACGCGAAGGGTGGGGATGCATACCTCCTTTATGTAAGTGAAGTGAAAGTTTGTATTGTGATGGATCTCATCACTTGATCATAACCTGCCCAAAAGGGCCAAAACATGAAATTATCAACATATACAGATAAATACACATACACAATCACTCCTAAGTTTTACATATTAATTAAAACTCAGGTGTTCATACATTCTTGTACAAATTGAACTCAAGACATCTGATCTTGAGTTCTGCTTGGAGAATCTGGTGCTAGAAAACTATAGATATACAAATCCCTTAATTTGCCCTTTATATAACTATATTTCCTCAACAGACCCTCCTGATGGAACCCAGCTTTCTCTAACACCCTTTGAGAAGCCTTATTTTCTACAAAAACGTATGCCTGCAACCTTAACACATCAGGGAAGTCCTTGAAAACTTCAATAAGGGCAATTTTCACAGCCCTGGTGGCAATCCCCTTACCCCAGTACTTCACAGCTATAGCATACCCAATATCAGCCCTACACCTGTCACCGCCAGATCCAGGAAAGATCGAAACGAATCCGATCGAATGGTCATCGATGCATATTGATCTACGCCAGGGGTGGGGGAAGCATACATCCTTGATGTAAGTCAACGCTTCTTCCTTGGAAGTGAAAGTGTTCCATCTGATAAATTTCATCACTTGATCATCACCAGCCCACACCATGAAATCATCAACATCTGTTAACTTGAATGGACGCAGAGTGATGCTTGATAAATCAATCTCAGTCTCCATAGCACTATGAGAGTAACTATAATTTGATCAAATGATGAATTAGTGCCAAGTTTGTTATTGGGTTAAAGGATTACTTGGTATCAATTTTACTATTATTTATATCTTTGTCATGTAACTACCCATTAAGCAAGAAATTGGTCATAAAATTTTATAATCCCTCTAATTAGTTATTATATTAATACACATGATCAACTTATATATATATATATATATATATATTGGTTATGACCGAGGGTGTTCACGTCAGCTTACATGCACCTCGATTAGTCTTTCAGGATCATGAAACTACCGATTGGGTAAGAGCTCCAGTGACCACTACTATTAGCAATTTTGGGGACTCAAACTCAGGAAACTATGTTAAATCCTCATCTTGCTCTTTTATCATCAAGGCGACTAAAACTTGGAAGACCATGCTAGATTCTCCTTTGCTCTTTTACTATTAGGTCACCCAATGATGGTTCAAACTTCTTAACTTGTGACAAAATTTTGGAATTGTAGTAGACTTATCCTATACACAAAAGGCAGTTTTATAGTTCAAGTATAATTTGGCGTTGCCATAGGCTTTCTTATGTTTTTTACAAGTTGTAACACAAATTTGGTGTAGAAAGAGCCATTGTATCAATTTTCTGGTGATCCCAACTCTCATAAATGATTTCTTAAATGTTTCCCATATCAATAAAGATAGGCCGACAAACTCTTTTCACTAACTCTCTCTCACAAATGCGACGTGGTAGCTTGCAATTGGTCAGCTGGGACCCATTGGTTGGCAAACGGGATCCATTATGAGTTGACTAATTGCGAGCTGCCACATCGCGTTTGTAAGAGAAAATTAGTGAGAATGGTTTGTGAGTGTAGTATTCCCCTTCCAATATTAGAATACCATATTTTAGATTTAAAATTATAAGAGTTTATTTTTTAATGCTTACTAACACCGGTCAATGAATGTCTGATAGAGAATTCGCCACATAAACTCAGCCTAGAAATTGAGCATTTCAATTCTGCAAGTTGCTATAACCTTGGGCAGTTTAGACAAATGAAATATTGGCCAAAACAAATAGGCATTATATATTATTTATCAATTCAATCACTAGTAAATTACATAATAATCTAATTTAAAACTGTTGATGCTTGATTTTTGACACCAACTATTCGCACATGCAAAGTGCTAAGTTGACTTAGAAATTACACGTGAACGGGAAATGAAATAAATAAAATGGGAGATGATTTTTAAAGTGGTTCGGATGCTCGAAGCAAATCCTATGTCCACTGTTTTTTTTATAAATAAGAGATTACAATCAGGTCGCATGTAGCGATTAGATAATAGAAATACAAATAGGGAGAATAAGCATTTTTTGTTATCAGAATCCCGAAAATGAGAGGGGAGCCCTCTATTTATAGTAAGAGGTTTCTGGGTAATGATTTCAAGTCTGCAAGCGGGCAGGTGCCGTACAATTCCTACCTTGCTTCCCATTGACTGATTATACAGGAGATACCCTTAAATTGTGTAGGGTTTGGGCAGGAGATACGTCCTTGGACGACGTGATCGCGCTTGAGCGGCACAAAGCCTTCCTGAACTCTGATTGACCCTTGCTAACGTAAGCTTGTGTCAGACTTGATTTCTTAGGCATAACATAAGTCCCCTAGTTCTTAAGGTTCAAGGTTTGAACCTTGAGAACTTCATGATTATGCCATGATTTGTCTTGTCCTGAGGAATGCTTGCTTGAACCGTGAGTGGAGAACTGCTGAAATAACATAAAGTTCACGGTCTAACTCGACCAGCAAACTGAATGGAGGTTGCGATGTGGAACTTCAAGCATTTGCACAAGCGACTTGAGGTGATTTTCCTTTAAAGGTTCAGCGACCTGGGGTCGGATCCTGCTCAGTGTTATACCAACGTGCTTTGAAATTTATCCATTACTCGCAACCTGAAAATACTTTGAATATTTTTGTCGAAAACCATAAGTCACTTCGCTTCGAGCTCAATACATGAAGAAAAATGTTTCATTCAAATTATCTCTTCAAATGTTATCTGTTGCGCTTGACAACTGGCCTGGTCAATAAAGTAAGATTTATCTGACAGACGTATCTTTGTGCAATAAGTATCAGCCATGAGCATTAAATGCAAGTCATGCTGAAACAACATTCTCTTTTAAAGCATTAAATGTGGATGAAGGCGCATTTAATGGGGGGAAGATAACCACGTCGACGTTTGGTGTCTCCAACGAAGGGAAACGTCGATTGATCTCTATGAAGCGTGAAGGTTACTCTTCACAAGGATGGCGACACATGGTCACATCCAACGACCAGAAATGCGTCCCACCCAAACGTCGCTTGCATTGGAAGCCAAACGTCGCTTTCTTCCTTATGAAACCCTAAGCCCACTTCAAGCTTTTCACATAAATCTAATCTTCAAAGAGAAAAATAAAGCTTTTGCACTCAAGAAACCAATTCATCCTTCTTCCAATTGATGCGCACTCGCCGTTATGACAGAGCATTCGTCCCCAGCAACCAAGAGGTAAGGAAAACTCTTCCATTTCTTCTTTTCATTTTTGTCAAAGACTCGGTCTTTTACAGCAATGGTGGGTATGAATGTCTAGTAAACTTACATGATGCACATTCTTGGATACTGTTAAAAAAGGAACACTCTTAAGAGTTAAAAACCTAGGGCACAAATCCTTGGAACCCATTCTCAAGGATGTTTAGGGTTTTTAGGGGTTAAGGAAGGAAAATTAGGGTTTTTTTAACTCTTTCAAGTCGTCGTATGAAACACTGTGTACAGAGACTAAGTTACCTCTATGTGTCGCACATTTTCAAACTTTTGGAGCAATGGATGTTTCAGAAATGAGAGTAGCTGAAAGAACAAGCTTGTAACCCTCGGGCACCTCAACAAGACCTGGACATGCAGTACTATCAGTAGCCATTGCGGACGAGATTTAAAAAGCGGTAGACCAGTTCGCGATCAACGTAAACGTCTACCAACATTGATCGTACACAGCTCAAGACCCTCAAGAGGGAATGCTGTGATCTTAGAAGCAACCTTCAAATACGGGGTGACGATACCCTTTCACCCATTTATCAAGTCGATCCTCGACCACTTCGAGATCGCGTTCAATTGATGCCCAATGCTTATATGATAGCAATTGCTATGTATATCGCATGCTGCAAACACGAATTTGGCGACTTAACAGCGTTAGAACTCGCATGCACTTACTATCTAAATAAAAGCAAGGACAAAGATTCTTTTTACCTGTCGAAGCAATCTACGATCGAGGGAGGGATATTTGGTTACCCCAGCAATGTTGGGGCTTATGACACCATATATTTCTTCTTCGAGTATGATGACATTTGTAAATTTAGAGAGTCGAGTAGGTTTTCCCTTTTAATTTCCAAACTGACTATCTTTTCCTTTGACCACTACCAACCTGCGAAAGTATAGTTTTTTCAGCCCCGAGGTATCTTTAGAAGCTCCAGCCCGTAAGTATCTTCATATCCAGAAGAACTTTTGGCCTTATATCAAAGATGACTTTTTCACTAACACATTTTCATGGCGTGTAGCAACCATGCCACCAAGGGTTTCGAAGCCACCGACGAAGATTGGGGTTTTTGTATTCCCCCAATTCAACTCGACTGGGCTAGCCGAAGTGACCCTTGATGCCATCCCAATAGGAGGGATATGGATTGGCACTGAAAGGTAACCATCCACCGAGCGACGCAAAGAAGCTCCTTGGCCCGTGGCTACTTGTGCCATGAAACAAAAAACCATGGGCCAAAAGACCAAAAAAAGAAAACAACTGCCCACCAAGGATGAATCGGAGTCAGGGCTAGAAGGCTTCGAGGTGCTACCGAAAAGAACTTAGCCTTACCCCATCATTTGCTCGAAAATTTCCCCGAGGGGTGCCCTCGGCACTTCGACGGCCCCTGAGAGCTTGCTTAAGGGAGAGGGAGCAACCGCACTGCCCAGAGGAGAGCGAGCAAGAACGAGTCGAAGATGTACCTGCCCCATCGGGGCCAAACTCGTCTGTGCTGGATTCCCTTGGGCAATTGCCTGAGTACTTGCAGCTGGTAATGTACACCCTATTGGAATGCTAACTTGCTACGACCTTCGAGGAGTTCGTGGCTGCCCGACCTACCGATCTGGTAGCTACTGCACTCTAGCTACACAATCAGATAAAACAACTTGTTCTCTTCGAGAACTTTTTAATACCAGCTGATTCTTTAACTTTTTTATGATTTTAAGAAAACGAAACTAACTTTTGTCTCTTTTCCTGTATAGTTCCTACTCGTCCTGACCGTACCCCAATAGAAGATCGACATAAACTATGCCAGCAGACTCTATGAGCTGAAGGAGGAGAATGTCAAGCTGAAGCAAGATCTCGTGGTCGTGGATGTGAGGCAAAAGCAGTTCGCATCCAGACTGATCAATACCTAGCAGAGAGAGATTCGACTTTTCGGACTACAAACTTTCAGAAGGTCAAGCTCAAAAAGAGAAACGGGACAACAAGGAGCTCTAACGGACAATGGTGAGGCTCACCAAAGAGCTGAGCGAGTAAGAGAAGGAGCTGAAGGTTAGCACTGATCACGCAAAGGCGACGGAGGAGAATCGAGCTCAGTTGTGGGAGAACTCCAAGAAACAGAAGACGATGATGGAGGCGGACCTTGAACTGCTTTAGGGGTGAGTCGCTTCATTGACCGAGCAGATGAAGCATCAAAACCTCGAGCTTGAGAGGAAGGATGCTCACTGGGCAATACAAGCTATTTATAGCTTGCAGTCGAGGAACCTAGAGATGGACATCTCCCAACTTTCGGATGAATACTAGTCCATTCTTGTTTCCACACTTTAAACTGAAGAGGTCGAGCAATAGGAGGAACAAAAACCTCCTCTGAAAGATGATCAGCCGAAAACAAACATTCTTGAAGATCGGGCCGACGATTCGGAGGCCGACGATCATCCAGAGGATCGGGAGGTCGCACCCGGGGGGGCTGGAAATGAAGACCAATGATCACTCTCTTTTCTATTCTTGTAGTTTTCTCAACTTAACTTTTGTAGCTCCTCGTCACCTTTTGTACA